CAGTCAGTGCAGACAGTTCCAGTTGCTAGGCCGCTAGCAGTTGCTCCTGTGGTAGGATGACGCCCATGTTGTCAAGGACGGAGACATCAGCAGGAGCCTTCCCGGCCTCAGGTCATTTCAGTAGTGTTAGCTCCAGAGCAGCCAGTTACCCGTGTAGAGCCCCGTTGTAGTAGACGTGTTTGGAGACGTCGACAGGCGGACACCCTTGCTGAGCTAGTACAATCAGTGGGGACAGTACGACCAGTTGAGCTAGTACAGTCAGTACAGTTAGTCGAGGCAGCACGACCTGATGAGACAGTGCAGTTGGCAGAGGCAGTGCAGCAGGCTGATGCAGTAGATCAGATGGATGTAGCAGTTTCTCCCGGGTCCGAAGTGGTCCTGATGACTTGTGATGAGGATGCAGTAGTTACTCTTGTTGGGTCACCGGATCGAGTTGAGACACCTTTAGCTCCAAGTACTCATAGGATCACCTCCCCTATGAGTCCCTATATAGAGGCAGTTCGTCGGATTTTTTTAGAGGATGACTCATTCGAGGATGAGTCAGATGAGGACATACCAGTATATCGGGTCTGTGAGACTACCCGTCGAGGTCGCTCGAATGAGCAGAGAGAGCCTGAGGACTAGGATGAGCAGAAAGACCCCAGGGCAGGAGGGTCTCAGAGATCAGTAGCTACGGACACCACAGTCTTACACTTACAGACTCAGATGGCCAGCGGGAAGATCAAGCTCTAGGACAGTGGCTTGGTACAACCTTTAGATAAGGTTACCCAGACAGTTCAGAGGATCTTTGGTCCCAGCCACAGTTCCAGTCACAGTGACAGTCAGAGTTCCAGTCAGGGTAGTAGTGGCAGATCACTCCACAGTTCGTAGGGAGAGTGGCAGCTAGCACTCTCCAAGAAGACATAGCAGATGATTGAGTAAGCTGTATAGAGTTCAGAGGTAGTTGAGATGAGGTCTCCCAAGGCAAAGTTGACAGTTGCCCCTCCAACTTCTTTGTTAGCACTTATCTTTCTTTTTTTTCTTCTATTATAGTACTAGATGAGCACATTTTCCTTTCACTTTTATTTGTACTAAGAGAGATAAAAAAAATAGTTGTAACCTAATGAGGGAAGATAGGCCCCCTACCAGCACTTAGGCTGAAGGACCTCGTTCTTCCTTCTATTGATGATTAATCAATAAAAGAAAATAAGATGATTTTTTTTTATTAGGATGACTCTCTCACTTCTTTTAGTTCTACTAGCTTTATAGTGATGACTCATAAAAGGGTATGATCTCTCTATCCCATCCCATGGGTGGAGATATTTCTTCTTTTGAATTAAAATATTTTTCAAATTGAAACTAGATTTAGAAGTAAAATTTTTCTCTATTATCTTGTGATTCTCTATCTTATAGATAACTATAGTATATTAATAAAAAAAACTTCATAATTTTTTTTTAATCAGGCTATTCATTCTTATTAGAGGATATGATTTGTTTTGTATATCATTCTTCCTTGTCCAAGAGAAGTAAGTCTTCTTCTCTTGCACTTGGAAGATGATCTTAAAACTGAGAAATAGTTTTCTTTTAGAGATTTGAAAAAGGAAGCTTGTTACAAAAAATGAAAAGATGTGCAAAGCGCCAAAAGTAAAAGATACACAAAGTGTATCAAGAAACTTTATAAGAGCCCAAATTCGCCAAACTTTTCTTTCCTCTCTCTTGGAAGCACTTTGGTGGTCTCTTCAAGGTTGAGTTCTCACTGAGTTGGTTATAATTCCATATAGTTCTAAATGTTTTTCTTTGCTAGTGATGTGGTACGTGGTGTTTTAGATGTTAACATCACTGCCTCATGGGCTTAGGTCTTTCTGAGAAAAGATCGCCCCCTGCTGCCCTCTTTTGGTAGCCTACCTTCCCATTCATACACTGCTCTGAGCTGCCAGAGTGGTTCTATGAATGTGATAGTGTTACTTTCACTTCGCACAGGGTCCTACCTGATTAGGGTAGGTGTTACCACTGTGACCTACTGATAATCATAGATCTCACTCATGATTATCATACTAGGTGTCAGGAGTGCTCCCTTGTCACCTCAGAGTTGTGCTGTGATGTAGTACATCTGTTCTCAGGTGTTAGCACCACAGTTTCAGGAGCTCCAATTTTCCATGGAAAGACTGACTCCTTGGTTTCTTTCACCAGCTTACTTTAATATTCATACCCTACTCTTAGCTGCTAGAGCAGCCCAATGAATATTGTCTCATTGCTTTTGTTCCCCACAGGGTCCTGCTCGATCAGGGTAGGCTTTACCACTATGACCCTTTTGATGATACTTCACTTCTATACATGATTACCATCCTTAGGTAGTAGGTGAATCCCTTTCACTACCTAGATCTGCTTTCCTCCTCGTGGTGTAGTATACCTTGCCCCGGATACTAACATCACCACTTTGAGAACTTTGATCTTTTAGCAGAAGATCAGTTTTACTACTGCTTGTCGTGACCCATTTTACCATTCATGCACTAGGCTCAGTCGCCAGATTAGTCCTATGAATGTGTTGAGGTCACTTTTACTTTTCATAGGGTCCCACTAGTTTGTTTGGGTATTACCACTATGAGATTTTACTTACTTAAGAATTGTTACCCTTTGTGGAGAGGATGCTCCCTCGCTACTTTGACTCTTTTCTTCTTATCTGGTGATACAGAGCATCACACCTTAGATGCTACCACCACCTTTTCCTTGAGTTTTGATCCTCTAGTAGAGAGTCAGCTATTACAGATACTTTTACCACTTGTTTTCCCATTGAGATCTGACTCCTAGCTGTCGGAGCGGTACTTTGGATGTTTTGATCTTGTTTCTACCTCTTACAGGGTCCCCATCAGTTAGTATGGGTTCACTATTGTAGCCTCTTTGAGGATCATTTTTATCAGGCGTAGTCCTACCTTCTGTAGGCTAGGTTCCCCCTCGCGACTCGAGTTCTTTTTACTCCTTTGGAATGAGATCGCCCCTCTACACACTTTACAGCGGGTATATCTCTTCTAACTTTCTTGAGAGATGTCGTTCTGATGTCTTCTCCCTCATTTGTGTAGAGTTAGAGTTCTTTAGGAGATCCTGACAGAATTTGGATACTCATGGTCATGACGATTTGTCCTCTACAATGTGTTGACCTCATAATTCGAGGTCAATTTCCCCGTATTTGATTCTAGCATCTAGGTCTTCCTAGCCTAGTGTAGATGTCGCACCTGTAGGATTTCCCTTAGGTGGACACCTGATGACGTAGTATCGACTCGAACCTATCGATCAATTTGAATCGAAATCAATTCAATTCAATTTCAATTCAACTCCGAAATGTACTCAAATCAAG